CTCCACGACTTCCACGCGGCCGCCGCTCCCCACGTTCTCCAGTTTCTGAACCTGAGCGCGGCCGGCGGCAGCATGCTGGCCAGCCAGCCGCTGGCGGCCCTCCACTCGATGGCGGAGAGGAGCCACCACCAGCAGCACCAGCAACAGCACCACCAGCAGCAACAACAACAGCACCACCAACCGGCCCACCACCAGCAGCAGCCGCAGCCGGCGGGCATCCAGCTGCCCAGGATCAGCGTGCCGTTGTCCACCATCACGCAGGGACAGTCCTCGCCGACCGGCAGCGGCAAGCACAGCCCCGCCACTTCGATCACCTCCGTCGGCAGCAATCCCCACGGAATCGACTCGATACTGTCGAGACCGGGGGCCACTCACCCGCAGGCACCGGTGTCCGCGACTCACGCCGCCTTGCAACCCTCGCCGCATCCGCAACACATGACGACGCCTAGATACGCGATGCACGCGGGATTCACCGCGTCCTCCGGTTCGTATTCTCTTCGTCTCCTTTCTCTCCTTCTCTTCTCTCTTCTTCTCTTCTCTTGTCTTTCGGTTCTCGGTTCAGTCTTCCCGATCGGACAGCCCAGAGTTCTCTTAGATTTCACGGATGTCGAGTCTTCTTCAACGTTTAGGGATGCGAGGCGCGCGATGTTGCCCATGATCGCGGTTGCTAACGGAACTTACGGGGAACGGTTCTTAACGGACACGCTTCGGATCCGGAAACTTTGAAGAAGACCCTAACGACAACAGATTCGTTAACGCTGTTGCTCGTTGCTGTGCGTTTCGCGCACACACGGAGGGTACGTAGGGTTCCGGTTTCTAACGCGAATCCGCTGACCTGAAGCGAACGTTTTGTTCCCGGTGACACAGAGATTCTTTCGCGGGAAGAGAACGTTCGTTTAGCTGGAACAATGGCGGACGATGACGATCGCTCTACTCGAATCGCGGTGAGAAACTCGATTGAAAAATCGTGGAACCAACAATCCCGTGGAAAATCGAATCGGATGAATGGCCGGGCACGGTCGCGCTATCCAAAGTTGGCGTATTTCGGGTTAACCGCCCGACGACGGTGGCGAACTTGCTCGGGGGATTTCTGATCCGCACGGAAACATGGGCTCGCAAACTATGAAACACGGCCGTCCTGCCCCGTTGTCCCGACGCGTTCGCAAATCGACGGACAACACGGATCAGGCTGTGCCCCGAGGAGGATTCGATCGATATCGCTTGATCTATGACACCCGGAATGATTCTAGATTAACGTCCGAATGTTTATAAACATATTTCGGATCGAAACGAACGTAAACGATAGGAATAGTTGGCTCTGAAACGAGAATACCGTTAATTTCAAGCATTCTTCCTCGTAACGTGTTCATTATGGTTCTCGCTAGCGGTCACGATACACCGAAGCGTTCTAATTCCGATTTATTGGACGCTTATGGTGATTTCGAGTCGCCGTTTAGTGCTCTCGAATCAACGTCTTCATAAGAATCACGTTTTGATTTATAACAAGAAAATTGCTTTACAGTAGAAGATACCATCTTCCTCTCCACGCCGCTCGCGAATCGTTCCGTGTAATCTTCAATCTCTCTATCGAGGGTTCATCGAATATATGAAAAACTCCCTTGATCGCAGGGAAACGAAAAGATTTCTCTCGAACGTACGCGTCGTCAGTTGTTTAATCCGACGATGGAAAACGCGATTCGCTGGTAAAGTTTCGCGAGAGTCAATGCTCCGAATTAATGGCGGTCAAGGGGAGAAATTTGAGAAATAGGGCGGCGGACGGCTCGAGCGGCCGCGAGTCGTTTTGCTCTCGCAGCCCGCTCGCCATTTTGTGAATGCAAGGGCCGGGGGTGCACGGCCACGTTAAAGGGTTCATTCACAAACTTCTGCGCCCATTATTAATGATATCGCGGCACATACAAGGGATTATAAATTTAAGAGTGCGGCTGTCGAGCGCCGCTCGGTAATACTAAATATATTTTACGAACGAGGGTGGCACGTGACTAGGGTTTATGGGTCCGTGAATTAGACCGAGGACGATGTAGGTCAGATTTGAAGGGTCCTCGAATTTTCCGCATCCGTTTGTTCGACGAATAGATTCGTCCCTTGCGAATCTCTCGTTGTTTCCTGCGCCGAATCGAAAGTATCCTCGCCGTCGGACGAAGCGTTTACGATTATCGCGACTCTACTAAAGAGCAGATCATAGTTCCGGTCAGATAATAACCGAGTAAAGATCGCTTTAGTTCTGGGAATATTACCGATTCGCATTTCCCAGTGATTTGTCGGTATCGCGACCGTCGCAACGTTCTTTCGTTCCGTTTCACCGTTCAATATCTTTGACACAACGTTCAAAGGTTTTCGAAAAGGTTCTTCCGTCGTTGTAACGTCTCGATTCGATTCCAAGGGTAGTTCTCGGTAAGAAAACTTAGAGACGCGAATCGGACAGGTACACGCACAACCGCCGGAGGAAAAGATGAAAGCGATAATTTCCCCAGTTTGTCGGTATTGTTCGAAAGGTTCTGCGAGAACGCGCTTCGCGACGGGGGAAGCGGAATATTTATTGAAATCGAGTGAAAAATTTGAAAGGGACGTTCGTCGATCGTGATAGGAATAACGAACGAACGAGGAAAAGACACGGCGGAGCTTAAACAATGCCCGCGAGAGGGAACGCGCTCTTTTTAAACTATATCCGGCGCCATTATTACGAATTATGGGAACGATCCCCGAAGATATTTGAACGTTCGCCACGGGCAAAAGTAGCACAGCAGCCGGATATAAATCGCGAAAGATTCTTTCGGGACCCCTCGGTTGGCTTTTACGGGTGCCACGACGAAGATTTCTTCTTTTATTGGAAGGAAAACAATTTTATAGTGGCCACACAGTGTTGCTCAACTACATTCCCCAGTTGTATATCATTCCATAGGAAGCTCCGCGCCGCGGAAATATAATGCAACAAACCACGATTCAATCTCTTTCCAGCTTCGTTCCTTTAAACGAACTTTTGCAATCTGTTCTTCAACCTGTCTCTCCCGTGTCGCGTCGCTCGTACTTGGTGTCGCTGAGAATAACGTTCAAACGTAACACCCGGACGTTTGTTTACACAGCATTTATCCGAGTATCGAAACAACTTTTATCGCAATTTCGTTCGCACCGAGGAAACGCGTAAGCTACCTCGTTAACTCGTTTTAAAACGCACCGCCGACGCTTTATCTCGATCCTCCGAGTCGACCTCTCGAAAAATTGATCAGCTCGTTTCAATTCAAGATCATATTCGCTTCCTCCGATTACGAATCGCGAAAATTGCAGCTTCGAGACCAGAGTATCGCCACGCGTTCGCATAATTGCGCGAATCACACGCTCGACTCGAATTGCTCCTAAACAACGCTTAAAGAATTCAATGTCCGTGAAATTGACGGGTCTCGTGAATCCGGTGTTAAGCTACCGATTCGATTGGCCGGTAATCCTAGCGTTAAAAGGTTCAAACGAGCTCGTCGCGACTCGTTGTCCGAGGATCCACGGCCGCGCGTAAAACCGGCGGTGCTAAGATGCGATAAAGTAGTTCCTGGCAACGCAGAAACGTCAGTCGCGACTCGAAGAACATCGTCGGTGATGTTTATGAAGTGGTTAGCGCCCTAATCGTCTCCTGAGGCGGGCCTGGCCCAGAAACGTGCGCGTAATGACTGGAAATCGGGTGCTTCGGATTCCGGCGAAGCTCGCGCGGCGTTCGAGGTATCCCGGTCCATACACACGCATATCGTATGTACTACACGGCGAACAGTCCGGGCGAGTCTCCGCCTTTACGCGTTCTTAGCACACCGACGACTCGTCCCGGGGATCCCGGAGCTCGGCGAACCGCGCGCGCCAACTTTTAACGAACCTGTAAACCTCGCCGGTCCTTTTACTCGGGATTAAGTCGTTCGCCGGCCGATCGAACCGCGCACGTTCGACCAGCAGCCGGGGATATTCGAAAGTAAAGACCTTTCGATTATTCGGAGAAGGGGCAAGAAATTAATTCCCGTGGGTTCGAATTCTGGGCTAGATCTTGGAGTTTCCGTGCGCGAAGTTCGATCAGCTGTCCGGAATTAGCGTCCCCCGTAAACGAGGGTAGCAACGATCTCGAATTAGTATCCTTCGGCGTCGCGAGCTAGTTTAATTGCACTTGCTATCAATTTCCCTATGCAGCCATCGGGAGTGTTCCCGATGTTATCGAGCAGGCCATCGCGCAGCTACGGTGGGCGTCGTTGCTCCGTTAATCTTCGGGTTCGCTGTTTTATAGGAATATTTCTCGAATTTCCCCCGTATCCGATCGCTCCCGGGTTCGATAGATGGATCGACCACGGGTCGGATGTAATAATAGCGTTAATAGAGTCTGGTCTTTTGCTCGGCGATGTTGTTTCCATGGTAAACGGAGCAGGACGATCGCGAGACGAAAAATAAGCGAGCAGGCAATCCCATCCCCCGTGAATGCCGTGTAATTCGTTCGGGTCCCGGGAAAGTGGCGGCGCAGCTATCTTAACGAACACATTCCCCCGGCGTTCTAATAACTTTCAGGCCGCGATATAAGCTGTTTTGAGTATGCCCTCGACGGTGCACGCTGTATAAACATGCATCCCGCCCACCCCGAGCGAAATGGGCGAGCAATGCATGTCGCGCAATACGGAGCGCGCAGGTTCGATACGCATCCTCTCCTGGCTCCTACGGTAGCTGCATCTGCTCGCCCGATGAATTTCATTCGCGTCTCGCTGCTGAATACTATTATCGCGGTCTGGGATCCCTTGATTCCCGATTAAAAATTCCGGGAACGATCCAAGTCTCCGGGGATTTCCCGACGAGCTTTTCGTCCCCTTTCAATCTTAAATGGCTGGTCTTTAATACGCGCTGTCCAAGGACGCCAAAGTGTCGATCGTGACAGTTGGAAAATACCTTTGGCAGTGTCAGGGTGCAAATGGCACAGTCGATAATAAATGGAGAACATTGAATCTCAAGTTAAAAGAATCAAATCGCATACTTATTCCTTTGGTCCGAGAAGCAAAGAATATTCGCTTCATCGTTCATCGCTTAGGCTTTGTCTTCTTTCTACCGAGTCAACTGCCTCGAAAACCAGCCAATGATAAACAGCGACAATTACGGATCCTTATATTACGGTGCAGTCGAGCTACTCGCGACACGATTATTCCGAGAAGAACAGAAGGCGACGCGTTAATACTTCGATCCGATTGTCGAATTCGGAGTAAACGGTAACTCGAACGGAAAATCACGGAGCGGACGTTCAGAAGAAACTCTAGAAGTCGTTCGAACGAGACGAAGCCCGTTTACCGAGCGTTGTTTTCCATTCTCATTGATCGTCTCGTCGTTGAAACGCTATTCCTTTCTCCTAAATGAAAGTTTCCGCGCCGAGACGGTCCGTGGCCGTCCGTCGGACACGGGCGTCCGCGAGAGACCGGTGGCTTTTCGTTGCTCGTAGGGCGCGCACCATAAAAATCTCTGCTGGAGGTTCAATTAAAGATCCGAGGATTCACCGGGCGGAGATCGGTCGGTTACGAGGGTCGGCGGAGCTGCCGAAAGCGGTCGCGGGTACGATCCTGAATATTTTTGTTGATGAGCGTGCAGGTTCACTCGTTTATGATCCAATAAATTTTATTTGATCCGAGCGTCGCGGACAAAAGGAGTAACGATCGGCCGATCGTATCGCGCGCGTTTCCATACCCGTTTCCCGGTCCCCCCGGCCGGCGAACACTAAAACCGGAATAACGTTTTATTGTGCGGTGGGAAAAAAAGGACGGAGACGCGTTTTCCCTTCGAATTACACCGGCAACTGGCAACAATACCTGTGTCCGAGGATTTTATAAACCTGATATAAAGCCCGTCTCTCCTCTCGCTCCTCCTGCTCCTTCTCCTACGGTGTTTCCGCGGAGAAACGGGGCTTGTAACAATTAGTAGAAAGTAACAACCATCCGTGGAGATCGTAAAGGCTTCCACGACCTCGCGTGTCTCGTCCGACTTTATCGTTTGAATATCATTCTATTGTTACCGGTACGTTTCGCCGAGCAATTAATGCACGCGCGACGATAATTGCGCTTGTCGATGCACGGAATATCTCGGAGATCCGAAGGAAATTGGGGCGAACGAGTGGTCGGTTGTTTAAAGAGAAATTACAAGATTGCGAGAAGTTTTCGGTAGATACGCCTGTACGTTTCACTGCTGAAACGAAGGAAACTTGGAATCAGCGTGTCCCCCGTTCTCCGATCGGCGGTTGCCAGACACTTTTTGCTAGACTCGAAAGTTGGTGCGCGATTGGACTGTTCGGTGGCCACACGCGTCGCGTTGCGGTTATCCGGCCGGCGACACGCGATCTCGCGAACAACACGGACAACTGTAAATGCCGATACCGCTTTCATAAATTTTCTCGTTCGTTCGCCGATTAATCGCGCGCAGTAACATCTTTTATCCGATCGTCGGTACACTTAAAAAGAGCAAACAAATTGAACGGAGAGAGAGGGACGGAGAGAGACAGATTGACAGTTCGTCGAATCAATTACTCGCGTCACCGCGCGTTTCCATGCTGCGTCCGCGGGGGTTGCGTTTTACAAATCCCGGCCGAATACTCTTATTTGCGTAAATATTTGTCGTCTAACGGGGTGACGATGGATGTCGCCGGAGCAAGAATTATTGGGATCGTCGATGAACGAACGTAATTCGGGGTACACGGGAAGGATAAACGGAAGGAGAGGAGGTTCCGTGCGCGCGCACACGCTCACATTGTGTTTGCTTTTGAATGCAGGTATCGGACAATTTCAACAAAGAACGGAGCCACGGCATCCCGCTGTCTATTGGCCGGGTCTTCAGGGATTAGTCAGTGATCCCCTGGCATGGCGGGCAAGGCTACACACACGTGAGTTTCCTTTTCAATCCGTGCATTCATCGCGGCCCGCGTTTTCGGGACACGGCCGATTCGGAACCGCGAGCGTCGCCGCATAAAATTACCATAAAGCCGTTCCTCCGCGGCTCGGAATTTCGAATTTTTACACGTACCCGGCTCCACGGAAATTCGGACCGGGATCGCGCGGTAAATCGACGAATCTTCTTCCCTCGGATTTAAATGAATTCTAATGGGACTCTCGTCGAACTCGGAATCGAAAGCTTGCTTTACAAATACAGAAGCAACAACGCCGCCGCTTCGAGCTCGACGGAACAACGAACGAGCTAAAGAATTTGAAAGGTAACGCGTTGCTAAGGAAACCTGGAGTTCCCTCGAATCGGTTACCCGATTCGCCGCAATAGGAAGACGCCTCGAGACGTCCTTCGCTCAATTAACTCGTCTCATTCGACTACAGGAACGTCAACGCGCGAACGGTCAATCGAATATTACATCGAAACGATTGAAACGGCAGCTACAGCTGCCGAGCAATAAGACCGAGCTATTTATAATTCGTCGCTCAGCTTGGCGGTCGGTTTGACCTGCGCGGTAGTTGCAGCGCTAACAGGAAATTGAATAATTTTCGTCGGGCCGAACTGCCAGAGATTTTGCAGGAAATATCCGCGGGTTGCCGACCCCCGAGCTAGACCGCAGGGTGCAGGCCTCGGTGTTTAATGGAAAGGCGATCTCCTCGGTCCCGCGACGGTCGTTCTATGCTCGCGAGGCCCATGCCAGCCGATCGACGTTGCGCGCCCCGGAATATAAAGCGTGTATATATCAGCCGGGGCTATATACGTATCGGGGGGCGGGAGGGGCTGTCCCGGGTGCGCGGGTGCGCGGGTGTGTCGGCGAAGGCGAGCACTGGATACACCGTGATGCCGCAGTTAAAATATTGCCGGAGTTATTCACGTGAGTGTGGAAAAGCGGGGTGAGAGACGGGGAGACGGAGAGAGAGAGAGGGTGCGGAGGCAGCAGGCCTCGCCGGGATACGAGGGTTGATATTGAATATGATATTCCGGGATCCGACGCCGCAGCCAGCGGACTACCGCCACCGCTTTACCCTCTTATTCGTCCCGCAGTGACATTCGTACCCGACACGACGTTGAAACAACACACGTTCGCTCGTCCACGCCCTTCCACGGGCCTTCCTACGTACTTACATCCTAGTATCCTCCCTATCTCTTCACCCTAAGGGTGCGTTTACAGCGGAGCAAAGGGAGCGAGGCTCGAAAGCACGGCACAGCCGAGATCATCCGTAGTAATCGCGACCAACGATTCGAGTGGTTCAATCGAAGGGTACTGTTTACGCCGAAACGCGCCGGAGGAATAGGTTTCGCGTATTCGACGGGTTTATCTAGATTTGCTAGTTGTCGCGCGTCGAGAGGTCGAACGATTAGTAGCGTCACGGTCGAAAGTTTCGATAACTCGAACGACGATCTCGGCTCTATTACAAACGGGAACGAAGATATTCCGTTGGTTAATCTCGGCGCATAGCTCTGTTAGCTTCCGCCTTGCGCAGCCCCGCTGCGAACGTACCTTTAGCGTGGCGTCTTTCTCCGGCTCTCTGGCAGACGCATCCCTCTATCCAGCTTGCTCTCCCGTTCCTTTTTAACAGTGTCTCTCCAGCCGTCTTCCCTTCCCGTTGGTCCGTGTGTGCCTGTCGGATGCTCGAGCGTGTGCGGGCCGCACATGTGCCGCCACCGGGGGCTGATGTATGCTCCCGAAAGGGGATGCCCGCTGCCGCCGCTGCTCCGCTCTCTCTCTCCTCCGCCGTCACGTGTTCTTTCACTTTGTTTGTGATTTTTTTGCGGCGGCCTTAATCGCTTTTACAAATCGCTGGGGCCAGAGTTATGGAAGCGACGCGACGCGATGCGGCGCGGCTCGACGCGACCCCGCGCCGCCTAGAGAGTTTCCCTCCCTCTGCCCCTTTTCGATCCCTATTTCCCTCGGACAACTTCCTTCCCCGTGGAAAAAAGCGGTTCCCGGAGTGACCCTGCGGCGAGGGACTCCAGTACCGGGGGACGATCCATCCTCGCGTGACTTTTATTTCAACGGGACCGGGGAGTTCGAAGCCTTTTGGCAACTCGACGGGTCGGTTAGGCTGTGGTTACGCTGCACGCGTTTCCTTGCGAACTGGGTACGAAGAGGTTGATGCGGCACCCAGCTAATCATCTTTTGGGAGCAATGAACAGGTCGAAAAGGAAGGTACGAAAGTTGCGTGTCTCATCCGAGATCTACCGGCGTTCTCGAGGATTTTTCGGGGATCCCTGCTTTAAACGCGAGGACCGTATCTAGTGGTGAAGCGTGGGAGATCGCCGCCACCAAGTAAATGAAGAAATATGGGGTTTAGGAAACGATAAAGGAAAAACCAAACGTCCAAAGATCCAGAGATCACCGCACAGGAGGCGTTCCTGGAGGAATTTGATTGCTTCGACGAATCAAGATCGTCGGAGAGCCAGTTCGTGTTAGCACGCGGCCGCTGTGACCACAGTCTTAGCCGTATCCTCCGCGGTCTTCGTTATATCGCTTCGGCAAACAACTTCGCCTTCGCGGCTCGATAATTTGTATTCGTACGGAATTTGCGTCACGGATTAAATCTGTAATTATCTCGCGCGAGTTGATCTAACGGATACACGATGCGTTCGAGTCTCCGTTCGCGGTTCCAGCTGGGAAAAAATTGTTTTCGGAGATTCCTCCCCGGCCTCGTCGCACGGTTGCTTTCACTGACCTCCAGAATAGCGTTTAGCGGCTCGGCGACACGTGTTTTTTCACTTCCATCTCCTTGTCGCGAAAGCAAACACGAGCAGCTGTCAAACCCGTCTAATATCGGGGGAGGAACGGAATATCCCTGAGCTGAAAAACGTGTCTCGGATGTTTTCGGTCCGATCTCTTTCACTTGGAACCAATTCGTTCCCAGTGCCCGTGTCGACGATCCCTCTATCCGTCTCCCAAAGAGATACCGTTGCCTGGAATATTTATTTGAAACTTAATCTTTCCTGATACAAACTTCTGTTTTCGCTTCCTCGGTATTCCTTCTCTAGAACGAACGACAAAGGTTACCGCCACCGTTAACCCTTTGCCTTCGAGGAACGACTCTCGGTACCGCTCGATTCGATGTAGCAAAATTATGGAGTCTTACGTTTCGTATTAGCTTTGGATAATGCGTCGATATGCGAAATGTCGAAACAAAATAGCTATGCTGTACGTTGGTTTTTATAATGGAACAATGAGTTTCTATTTAACGAAGACAACAAGTAAACACGTCTGTTCTATTTCTAAACTTGGCGAAATAGCGTTGAATATTCGCAGGGAAAAACTTTGGAGCGCAAAGGGTTAACAGTCATCGGGTATCCACGGTGAATAGAGTCAACGAACCAGAGAGACAGCTCGCTGTCGCGTAGGAACGCTTGTTACCTGCTAAAATACTGTTTCCGGGTTATTAAGCGGCATTAGACGTAGGGAGCCGGAGTCGGGAGACAGAGGAGGTATCGGGCTCGTTCGAGCGAGGCTCTCGGGCGTACGAGGATCGGAGGAGGAGGAGATAGGGATATCGGTGATTGGACCGGGGGTGGCTCCTCGAGTGGGCTGGTAATGATATTGGGCGGCAATGCTGAAGATTATGATGAAGCTGTTACAACGAGGAAATAGGTTCAGTGCGCGAGCGGAATCGCCGTGTCCTTGCTATTCTTATACAGCAGTTACGTAACGCGTTGCACGAATTCCCGTTACAGGAGATCGCGCGCGATAGATTTTTCTCGCGTAACGCGAACGATGTCTCGTCGTTCGTTCTCGGAACGTATTCGAAATAAAGCAAACGGGGTCCGGAGAGGAAGAAACATTTGCAAGAGCAGCGACACGCGAGCACGAGGACAACGCGATAACGAGAGCTCGCAAATGGAATTTGTTTCGCGACTCGTTTCATAAGCGCGGGAAATCAATCTGTCTCGCGAGCGACGGGAAACGGGAAAGCCACCCCCGGCTAAGAGGCGCATAAATTCGAGGGAAAAAACCGGACTTATCGAATTACGCGCGGAGAAAAGTTGCGCGAGTTTACGCAGTTTCTAAGTAGATGAATAGGGGATGCCGGCCGCGGGGGGAGCGTGTACCACGATCGAAGCAGAGGGTGGAGAGTGCGGTAAGCAGCTCATTAGAACCCTCCCCGCCGACTGGCCATTATTGCCTCGTTCCGTATTCCGTTACAAATTGCTTTATTAAATTAAAGTCCCACAACCCATACTGTTGTGACGACCCCACGCCTCTTTCCCTTTTCGGCCGCGTTCCCCTTCGCCCACGTGAACGCGCCTGACCGCGTGCTGCTCGTCCACGAACAGCCGTCCCTCCGCGAGCCCTTCTTAATTACCCGGCCGAATTTTCTATAATAATTCCTGCTGCTCGGCCGTGGACAGATTTTCATCCCTCTGCTCCTTTAACCGGTTATCCTACTTCGCAAGGTCGCCGGGTTGCTTATTCTTAACGAGATTTCTTCTCCGACCGTCGGGCACTCTTTCGGTAGAATCACGAAACTTTTTCTTTCGGGAGCATCGAAATTGTCGAGCGAATTTAAACCTACGCGGTCTTTTGATTTCGAGCGTTAACGGACGTTAACTTTTCGCTCCACGCGAAACGTTGATGCAACGATCATCTAGGTTTTAAGTGACCAACAACTCCTGCACGATGAAACGCGAGAATACGCTATATCGAATGGCAAAGTTACGTCGTACTCTAATTTAATAAGTCGAGTTTACCACGCGAGAGACCCCAAGTGGTACGTTTTAATCCTTAATCCCCTCGTTCTTTTGTGCCGCGCGTCGCGCACGTGATATGTTCTCGTTCGAGAGTAATTGTCCGGAAACGTAATAATTTCTCGGGCCATTGGACGGTTTTAAAAGCGCGAGGAACGACGCACGGCAACACCGGTCGCCGGTTCTCGAGCCGCTCGTGAACATCTTCGCGCCCCGACAATGTCACCCCAATTTCCGGCTGCGTATCGCGTGTCATTCCATCGATGGTATCTACTTGTTCCCACCCCTAACGGCGGGATGTATAAGATCAACGGCGAAGGATAACGATAACAAAGTCCGCCTATTTGCGGAACACTAAGCTCACGTGGCCCGGCACGTGCCGGCCGACGCCGAGACGCCATTATTGCGGTCTATCGCGCAAGTGTTTAACCCTTGGACGCGTGATTCCGTCAAATTAAACTACGATCTGCCCCTGGTTTCGCCCTAACGGCGACATTTACTGCCAAGGGGGCGTTTAAAGTGTTCGACGGAAAGAGTAATCGGATTTTCAACGTTCGCAACAAGATTAAAAACGATAATATCATCTGATTCTACGCTCGAGCACGCTGTCGATGGTTCGGGATTTTCGTTGGACCCTTACCTAGAAGAGACGATACGGTTATCGAACGCAACGGCGAATCCTCGGGAAATTAGATACATGGAATAAGACACGTAGGCGCGCGATTGATCGCCGACTGCTTCCGCGGTTGGCAGGGAACACGGTCGTCCGTTGGAATCGGAGGGAAAATGAAACATCGAATTTCGAAATGCCGCGCGATTAAATAGTTCGCGGACTCAGGACCCGCATAAGTTAATGAAGCGGCCGGCGCGATGAAGTATTCGACACGAGCCGGCCGCCGCAAAAGCGATCGATTCGTTATCGCCGGACAATTGCACGGTTTTTAATAGATACGCGGTACACAACATTTTCGGCCGTGTAACGAGATGTAAATTTATGACGCAATTATCGATAGGGTATGTAAATCGTTTCCGGCGGAGCCTCGGCCACCCCCTTGGCCCCGCGCCGCGGCGCGGCCGGGCGAGCCGGGCAAGAAGAATGACGGAAAATTGATGAAGATTAATTGCCCCGCGCGAAACGGCTATCGCCGCAAACTGTGCCTCCCAATTATTGAATAAGTTTCACGGTGACGATGATAGCGCTGTCGGATCAGCGAACGAACACGCGTCCGCGAAACGAAAAATGTTGGAATATAGCCATCACGATTCTATGATAAATTCGAAACGGTCACGACCGACGAAGATGCATCTTCGTCGAAACGTTTTTCCTTTAGCAACAATCGAGGAACCAACCGCGACGTTTCACGCGTTGATCGTCTCGCTTGGGTGCTGTTGATACAATTTCTGTTACAGATTTCGAAACTAATTTTCTAGACGACAGCTCGAATGAATTCCGTTTAACCGAAGATACTCGCTTCTAGTGTATCGCGATTTCGACGAGCACGCAATTAATCTATCGGTGCAATTTGCGGAACACCAACGAACCGTCTCCTCCGTTGAAAGGAGGAACCCCTCGAATTTTTTCCCGAAACTCAATCGAAGAATCCGTTTCCCGACGAAAGCTCTGAAATTCGAACGCGACAGAAGGAAGCGCCACAGCGCGGGTGGCCGGGTTTCGCGTTTCAATCCACGGGATTACGAATGAAAAGCAATTGAATTTTTCGTCCGCTCGTAAACCTCTTCGCTGGAAGCGGATATACTTCCGCTGGTCCCGGGAAGCTACGAATGAATAGAAATAACGAGCGAGATAATGTTATTAAAGCGACGCACTGGGAGATTGCGTGGGAGGCGGGGAGGCCGGAGAAAAACGGGCAGAGCGAGGATCCTCTAAGAAAGTATCGATGTTACAGTGTCGCAACAGCTGGGTTGTCAGCAGACGATGACAGGCTCGGCCGGGGCCGGCGAACACGAGGGTGGCAAGAAGAAACACACGAGGCCGACGTTCAGTGGCCAGCAAATCTTCGCCCTCGAGAAAACGTTCGAGCAAACGAAATACCTTGCGGGACCGGAGCGAGCCAAATTGGCGTACGCCCTCGGAATGTCGGAGTCGCAAGTTAAGGTAAGCTCTCTCCGTCCCTTTCTCTCTCTCTCTCTCTCTCTCCTCGAGCCGAAAGAGATTTCCGCGTGCCGCCATCTTCCTTCGATTCGCTGGGAATTTTTATCGATTCGATCGACGCGAAACGCTCGGCCCTGGTTCCTCTAGCTTGTCTCTTTGTTCCCCGATCGAGCCCTTTGCGCTGGAATTGTTCCCGTCGATGAACCGTGATTCGATCCTCCCGGTGTACCTCGGGACTAGCGTATTCGTACCTTAAGGCGACGAGCACGATTAACATCGGGAGAAAGGATCGCAAGCAGAGAATAAAACGGAACGTTCGTCCGCGAAACTAGACGACTGCATCGCGTTTAATAAAGTTTCTGCTAATCTCCGATAAAAACGTCACGGTGATTTAAGTGGACCCGGCTAATTATGAATAACAGATGTAGATGGGTTAATAAAAATTCATAACAGTCGCGCGGCACTCTCGCTGCTCCCGATATTAATCCGTGAACGATGGAACGGCGAGGCTGCGATAAAAACGCGAAATCAACTTGACCGGCAGCCCGTTGTTTAATCTTCGCCGTTGTTTAATATTTTCTTACCGCTTTAATCGACAGCCCGTTCCGTCCGAACTTTATCGGCGAAAGATATATATCCCCCGAAGATCGAGCTCGTTCCTCCCGGTGCACCTTGCGCGCGAATCCGTCTCCTTGACGCGCAGATCGGCCGCATAAATTATCGAATAATCTGTTGGCAGCGTCGCTTCGCCGGCGCGTTCGAGGGCAGGCGGAACCGACGCCGGACGACAGCAGCGAGCGCGGATAAAAACGAATTCCGACCGTATCCCGTAAATCCCATCGGCGAACAAACAGAAACTGTGAACTGAGAATTGAGTTGTGCGCGGCGAGAGCTCGCTGCGCGTGAAAATCAATTGGCAGAATTGGCGGTGGAGGCGCGCCACCGATTATTACGCCGGTCCGCGTCTGACCGGTACAGGCTCGTTCCACTCGCCGGCTTGGCTTGCCCTGGCAACTTCTGGCCGGAAGTTCGCGTCGAGTGATCTATCCGCCGCAGCAATCCCGTTTCGGTTTCGGTGCTGGCAACGCTGATCCGTGGTAACGAGTAAACCTCGTAAGCCTCGTAAACCCTTTGGCCGCGCTGGAAGACGACGGGGAACGACGAGAAAAAAGGGGTGTCGAATTCTCGGCGCAACGTCCGGAAGCCGGCGCTCGTCCCTGCGAACGGAATCCAGGGCAACGGAATAAAAACCGTGTCATCGAAGGAGCTCGCGTCAGGGGTGGCTCTCGAGCGGGGGCGGTTTCGCGCGGGCACCGAGGGCGGGCGTAATTTTAAAACGCGTTTGTTCAGCGACGGCTTACTCCATCAACGCCGGGGTGAGCAAGCTCCTAACGAGGCGGCGTTGTAAAAAAAGTTGGCCGGATAAAAGAAGGTGACAAAACAGCCGGAGACGTGTCAAGCTTTGCGGCACCTGCGTCGTTCCGTTCGGCTCTCCTCTCTCGCTCGTCGGCGGGGAACAAAAATGGTCGGAACGAAGAGGGCGAGCCGTAGGTGACGACGGCCAGCGTCACGCCGCTCTCCGGAACTCTCGTCCACCCCCGGCCTCGTCTCCTTCCGTCCCTCTGCCCTCTCTCTCTTTTTTCACATCCCCCTGTCTATCCGCCTATTTCTCTCCATCTTTTCGACGGAG